GAAAGAGTGACAAGAGAAAAACTTCGAGATGTTCTAAATTAAATTACGACTGTGAGAGAGTGAGAGAAACACAAGAATAATTAACGAGGTAATAGCTCTGGGCCAGTTAACAAAAGACTGTTAGAGCTTTGAATCAACTTCCAGGCCTCTATTAGCGGACCCGGTAGACTCCACCACATTCTGAATATGCATGTGTTAGGATCTCCAAAGGAGGAATGCACAAGGCCCAAAGGGTTAAGAAAGATTTATTTTAGTAAAGTGAAAGCCGAGCTCAGCCAAAGATGACATCAGCCCCGAATGCGAGGGGACTTGAAACTTATATGGGGCTTGAGGCAGGCTTTTTTGGTGGGAATATTTCAGGTGGGTAAATTGGCGGGGAAGGGAGGAGATTCCAGTGAAACTGGAGGTGAGCGTGTAATTGCCAACCCGGATGCAAGGTCCGGTTCCCAAACAAAGGTAAGGGAGGAGTCTGGTTCCCACTCTACAGGGGATAAGGGATAGGGGCCTCCTGGACCTAACGGCATGAACTTTTAGAACTGTTGCCTGTAACTAATAAAGAATGATAAATAGTTCTTTCTTACAGACTGTGCTCCTATCCTAGAACTGTCCCCCTTCATCTTTTCCCACCTCCCTTATCTGTAGCTAATGTAAATTCTTTCAAAATAACTTACATCTTCCTTCCCCAAAATGTAATGTATAAAAGAGCGCTTCAGCTCCAGGACAGCAGATGTGCGTCGTCTTTTCCACCTATCCCTGATGCTGGTGGTTTAGACTTCATGCCCCCAGAACCTGGTCCTTTTCCGGGTAGCATAAGGCTCAATAAAGCCTTTCATTTAAAAAGGTTTTCATCCGTGGAAGTCAAGTTTTTTGTTTAACAAGAGAGGATCAGGAAAGGAAGGCAAACAGAGAGGACAAGGGCATACAGAACAGAATGGCTGGAAGGAAGTGAAAGTCATGTCACCAGGACATGTCTGTTTTGGACTTGGATAAGGTTGGAGAAGGGAGCTCAGACAATGTATCCTTGGTTGTCCTCCTTGCTCCTGGAATCTCCCTGCCAGGAGCCCCACCCTATTTCCAGCTTCTCAGGGTGGAGTTCCTTTTGTTTCCTAGGAGGCGTCCTCAGTCCCAGGTGGTGAGCCTGTCAGGAGGTGGGTACTCCGAATGCCTGGTCAGTGGTCGTTAATAACTGAGGTTAATGAGTTCAGCCCTTCCCTGAGCTCCATCCTCTCAGCTTGGAAGGACCTGCTGACTCAGAAGGTCAGAGGGCCAGCCCTGGCGGGATCACACAGTAGTAATGTAGGGAAGAGGCAAGAGAACTAAAAGGTAAATCAAGCTATATTCAGAGACTGCAACATGCTGATCAGCCCCACCGCCAGACCACATGGAAGACCACAGATCGAAGGAAGATTTCGGCCGGGATCACTAACAAACCATTTTCCCACATCATGAGGGAAAACAAGAAAACAGAATCTTTAAGTTGAGTCCTACACAAAATAAAATCATTCATTGCCATGGGGAACCTGTGGAAGGAAGGCTGGGAATTGCAGCAGGCCTTTCACGCTACATTCTTTCACACCACGTGCCCACACCGTCAAAGGAAAATGGGCAAACAAAGTCTTTAAACTGTAATTCATAGACACTAAGAATTATAAATAAATGATTCCTGGAACACTCGGGGTCTCTCTCAGTGCCTTTTTCTCTGTCTTCTCTCTCTCTCTGTCCCTCTGATTCTCAGGTTCTCTCAATTTCCACCTTTGAGAGGAGACTATGCTCTGTCTATGGAGCCTTACCCCTTCTCTAATAAACTTTCCTTTTGACTCTAACTCTGGCGTGTGCTTAAATTTTTTCTTGTCTCAGTCAAGAACTCTTTCGGTGCAGGCCCACTCGGGGGAATTTGCCCTGTCCTGCATCAGTAGGACTCAGGAATCAATTCCAGGAATTTTAGGTGGAAAGGAATCAGTCCTGGAAGAGAAGGACCTACAAAGAGAAAAAAATCGATGACATTAATTCTGGAGAGGTTTCAGACCTATGGGAAGGAGCAATTGTCCTGTGTGGGCTTCAGGCCCCAGGAGGATTCAGCCATGGTGCCCAGGAGTCCTGAGAGCCCTGAGCCCAGAACTGTCCCCAGAGGAGAACCCGTTTACTGTTGGTCTCTCAGCTTCCCACTTACTTGCTGGACTGAGTGTTCCTGAAGGGGATCTGCAGGTGTTCAATGTCCACCTGCAGCCCCAAGTCACCCTTCTCAGAGAGAAAAGGTTTATGAAGGGTCTGACAGATTGAGGATGGATAGATGAAAGAAAAACAAGAACAGCAAAATATAACCATGGTAGAATCTACATGGTGTGTGTATGGGTGTTCACTGTACAATTCTTCCAACTTTTCTAGATGTTTGGATCTTTTTATATAAAATATCAGAGGAGAGATAAAAAAAAAAAGCGTTTGGCAAATAGTAGGCACTCCTAACTATAAGGCGTGAGCAGCGTAATCCCTTTCTAGAACTGATATTTCACATGTAATTCTGCAAGATGACAGGTTGCAGATGATAGCACCTGCAAACACTCAAGAGAGGAGGGAGAACCTTAGACCACACCTAAAGGTGATTAGTAACTTTGTCCACCCAAAGCTATTGGCTCTTCGGTTGGTGACACTTTCTCAAGTTTATTCTGCCCCTCTTGAGATCTGGGCCTTGGCCAAGAGTGGACCCCACCCTGCCACCTGTAACTGTTGGTGGGGGGGTGGGCAGGATAAGATGTTCCAGACCCTGCCTGACAACTGACTCTAAGAGGTTAATCATGTTTGTTCAGGAGGTGAGGTTCACACGATAAAGAGCAGGGGGAGCACTAGGACCTGGTATAAAAGTTCTGGAAGTTTCTGGGGTGTTACTTGGTACCTGAAACTGCCAGGTGAGGGATGACAGAGGCCTGGGCTAAAGGGTAACAGGGATGCCTGTGTTTGATTTAGGGAGAATTCAAGCTGAGCTGGAGAAGAGCCTGCCTGGAGTGAGTGTCTGGGGAAACCCGGGTGTCAGTCAACTGAGGCATCTGGATCTGAGCTAGTCAGAGGTGCATTGATATCTGGGTCTCAGATGGAGAACTAGGGGACAACTGGGATACTCATGAGCAGAGATATTGCCAGATTTGTGTTAGTGGAGAAAGAATCATAACAGACCAGGCACTGGGATCTAATATCTTGAGCTGGTCTCAACTTCTGCAACTTCTCGGCCTATCCCACCTCCACCAGAACTACTTGGACACTGGTGTCGGCACAGACTCCTCTATCACTACCGTCACTCCCCAGGTGACACAGAGACACACTTCTAAAATACTCCTTTCCTTCTGAGACAAGAGTGAAGCCAGGAATTTACATTTTGCTCCAGATGCCCCTAAGCCAGGCCAGTCTACCACAGGAGGACTTCAGTTAGGTTTTCTCAAACTCCTGGTTTGGTAAACTCGACCACCTCAATGATTTGGAGTCATCTTCTTTTTCTTTAGAAAACTCCTTTTCTACTTTGTGCCAGGAGGGAACAGGGCTTGACACAGCTTAATCCAGATAGAGGTTAAGATTGATCTTCTGGCTTGGGATAGAAGAGGTAGGTTGGCTACAGCCAGACCAGAGAAAAGCAGAGGGGCTACGGCCACAGATTGTATCTGTGAGGAACAGTCCTAGAGACTATGGACCATCCTTTCTAAGCCCAAGATTGGGTCAGCTAGGTCTCCGTTAAAGGACCAAGAAGCCCGAGTCTCAACCGGAGGTCAAGGATGCTTTGTAAATGAAGTCCAGAGGAAAAAGGGTAAATCTTCACTTTCTCCTTTCTTCTCATTCCAGCCTCAAAATGTTGACCATTGCTCTTCTTGCCCTTCTTTGTGCATCAGCCTCTGTCAATGCCAGTAAGTGAGAGGCCAGGAACCCAGTACCAGGGGGGCTGCAGCTTCCGGAGGCAGGCTTGGGTGGTGGGAACTGAGTTGTGGGAGGAATAGGGGTTTTGGGAAGGAACTTAGCTCTCAGGGAATTTCTCCCTCCAACTCCTACTTTCCCCTCCAGTTCAGGCTAGGTCCTCCTCCTACAATGGAGAGTATGGAGGTAGCGGAGGAAAGCGATTCTCTCATTCTGGCAACCAGCTGGATGGCCCCATCACTGCCATCCGTGTCCGAGTCAACAGATACTACATTGTAGGGTAAGATTTTTTGAGTTTCTGTGGTTTGGGGGCCCTCTAAGATCTTACTAAATTGGCGAGTTCTCACTTTGGGTCATGCCTGTTTCAGTCAATGAGTCCCAGGGATAACATGTGATGTGAAAGTTGTTGGAGGACTTGGATTCAAGACCTGTGCTGCTGAAACCCCTACAACCCAAACACACGTGGCCTTGGGTGAATCGTGTACCATCAACTCTCAGGGGCCTGGAAGCTGTCTAGTTTAGCCCCAATCTGAGGTTTAAATCCCCTCTGGCACCCTCCATCTTTGCTTGATGCCTCTCCCAGAACGCGTACCCTTCTGATCCTGGATCTGCATCCTGGATGGCACGGTCAAGTCCTTTCTCTCATGAGAGCCTTTCACGTGTTTGAAAAATCCCTTTGCTTCTTTCAGGTAGGGGGTGGGGGCACAATGGGGGTCTAGACTTCAAATTCAAGCTCTGACACTTACTGTCTGGGTGACTCCGGGCAAGCCATTTTCCCTCTGTGAGCCTGTTTGTCGTCAAAACGAGGAGTTGAAGTTCCCTGTATGATCTCCATGGGCTCACCCAATCCTCACATACTGTCAGACTGGCAGACTTGTCACCTGTCACCAGTTTGAAGGTCTCAGCATATAGGCCAGGTCCCGAGTTCTGATCACCCTACTCAGTGTCTCCCTTCCTTCTCTCCTCACCCTGTCCCCAGTCTCCAGGTGCGCTATGGCAAGGTATGGAGTGACTATGTGGGCGGCACCTGGGGCGACCTGGAGGAGATCTTTCTGCACCCTGGGGAATCAGTGATCCAGGTGTCTGGAAAGTACAAGTACTATGTGAGGAAGCTGGTCTTCGTGACTGACAAGGGCCGCTACCTGCCTTTTGGGAAAGACACAGGCATGAGTTTCAATGCTGTTCCTTTGTACCCCAACACTGTGCTACGATTCATCAGCGGCCGAGCTGGCTTCTTCATCAATGCCATCAGCCTGCACTGGGATGTCTACCCCAGTGACTGCAGCAGCTGCTGAGCCTCAGTCTCCTCCCAGGCAGGGACACTGCAGTGGGGGTGTGTGGACCCCCTTACCATTAATCCCATTCACATGGCTCAATAAAAAAAAAGACATGGCTAAAGCTAGCGTGTATGTGCGTGTCTGCTGCTGGGACCCTCCTCCTAACTCTGGGTACTGATGTGGAGATCTCATTCTTGCTTATCTGTAGGACATCTATCTGGGGAAAAATGGGAGGATGAGGGCAAGAGGCGTAGGTGTCTTGGGCTTTTCCTCATTATTTATCAAAAAAGAGATAAGATTTTGGCTTGCACCAACTCTGCTTTTAAAGATAACCGTGTTTACCCAAACTGGAGTTCTGAGGCTGCAGCCTCGTCTGGCTTAGTGCCAAAACCCCAGGTGTTCCACTCTCCAGCCCTCTGTTCCGTTGTATTCCCCTCCCCTTGAGACAGCACCTTTTCACCAAAAGGCTGTCACCTCACTCTCTTGACCTTAACCCCACTCACTGTACATAGGTGGCCTGGGCCATTATCTTTATTCTTTCCCAGAACCCACCTGACTCTCGAAGTTTAGCCTTTTTGAGTCAAGGATTCTGCCTATTACCCCAGCCTCATTCCTCCCCACCTCTACTGGTGTCCTCACTTAGCTCTCTCAGAGCTGTAGTTCTTTCCTTAGGAAGCTACCACCTTCTCATAGCTTCTGCACTGCCGATACTATCCTCGAAAAAGGGCACTCCAAGGTGGGGGAGGTTTCCATCCTGGGTTTCCATGAACATAAGGGGTCAGTTAAAGTTCAGGGGAAGCATTAGAGTGACTGGGTAGATTCAGCAATATAAAGTCACTTTGGAAATAATTCTTAGGTCTCTGGGTCCAAGTCCTAAAATATTTCTTTCCAATTAGACAAAGATAACAGTTATGTACATATAATTTTATAAAGTAATACTAACATTCAGAAACAAATTCATGCTTTTTATAACAATTCCTTTCTCTTAAACAATCAATTCCATGGAATGGAATGTTATGTCATTGTAACTATTTTTTTGTTGAGATGTAAATCACATAAAATACATTCTGTGTGCCATTTCAGTGGTTTTTCTTTTAAAATTTATTTCCCCCCACCTTTATTGAAATATAATAGACAATTAGTTGCTCATATTTACATTATGCAATTTTATGAGTTTTTTAACATTATAGTTGGCATACAATATTAGTTTCAGTTGTACAGCATAATGATTAGAGCTCAAGTAATCACCCCACTAAATCTAGTGACCGTCTTCCCCCTTACATATTTGCTACAATATTGTTAACTATTTTCCTTATGCTACACTTTATATCTCCGTGACTATTTTGTAACTATCCATTTGTATTTCTTAATCCTTTCATCCTTTTCCACTATTCCCTCAATCCCCCTCTCGTCTAGTAGCCCTCCAAATATTCTCTGTATCTATGAATTTGTTTGTTTTTGTTAATATTATTTTGTTCTTTAAATTCTGCATTTATGTGAAATCATGTGTATTTGTCTTTCTCTGACTTACTTCATTTAGCGCAATATCCTCTATGTCCATCAAGACAATATCCTTTTCCATCCGCTCCCTTTTAGTCTGTGTGTGTCTTTTAATCTGAAGTGAGTCTCTTGTAGGTAGCATACATAGGAGGCTTGTTTGCTTATCCATTCAGCCACTCTATCCTTTGGCTGGAGCCCCTAATTCTTTTCCATTTGAGGTAGTCATTGATAGATATGTAGTTATTACCATTTTTATTCATGATTTTGATACATGTTTTTTTCTTCTTAAAGAAGTCTCTCCAACATTTCCTGTAATACTGGCTTGGTGGTGATAAATTCTTTAGCTTATTTTTGTCTGGGAAGCTCTTTATCTGTCCTTTGACTCTAAATGATAGCTTTGCTGGGTAAAGTATTCTTGATTGTAGATCCCGAGTTTTAATCACATTGAATATTTTGTGCCAAGCCCCTCTGCCCTGCAAAGTTTCTTTTGAGAAATCAGCTGCCAGTCTTATGGGTGCTCCCTTGTAGGTAACTAACCTCTTTCCTCTTCTTGCTTTTAAGATTCTTTGTATTTAATCTTTCGAATTTTAATTATGATGTGTCTTTTTGTGGGTTTCTTTGGATTCCTCTTTTTTGGAACTCTCTGAGCTTTCTGGGGTTGTATGTCTATTTCCTTCACCAGGTGAGGGAAGTTTTCCATCATTATTTCTTCAAATAGCTCTTCAATGGTCTTGGTTTCTTTTTCTTTTTTTTTTTTTTTTTTGCTATTTTGATTGAGTGTCCTTGGCTTCCCCATATTCGATATCGGTGGTTTGATCCTCTTCTTTATCCACTCTGTTTATTCCATCTAATATATTCTTCATCTCAGATAATGTGTTCTTCATTTCAGACCGGTTCCCTTTTATAACCTCTCTTTCTATTTTTATGTTTTTTATCTCTTTGTTAAAGTTCTCACTGAGTTCATCTACACTTCCCTTAAGCTCATTGAGCATCTTTATAACCAGTGTTTTGAATTCTGCATCTGTTTCATTGCTTGACTCCATTATTTCTAGATCTCTGTTCTGTTCTCTCGTATGGTTTCTGCTACTTTTCTGCAACCCATTTTGGATGCTTTTCTGTGTCTATTTCTATGTACTAAGCAAAGCTCCTCATCACCTCAAAAAGAAACTCCATAGCCATTAAGCAGGCACTACTCATTCTCCTCTCCCAGTTCCTGGTAACCGCTCACCTACTTTCCATTTCTATGGATGTACCTATCCCGGACATTTCAAAGAGAGGGAATTATATAATAATATGGCCTTTTGTGTCTATTTTCTTCCATTTAACATATTTTCAAGGTTGATTGATGTTATAGTGTGTGTCAGCACATCAAACTTTTTATGGCAGAATCTGACAGATTTTTGACAGATATCTGGTCAACTTTAGGACAGCCTTTAAATCAGTAGTTTTCAAACTATGGCCAGTGAAGGCACTGGCATCTAAGAGTCAGCCACAGCAGAAGAGGACTTTCATCTAGTCTACATATAGGCTTTTGCAGAAGATTTTAAAAAAAGATTTCCATTACTTAATAAAGTTTTCAAATTACTGAATTGAGCTAATCACATATTTGTCAAACATTTCCTGCTAGGTGCTAGGCATATAAAGACTACTGAAGATTTGATTCTTTTTTTCTAAGAAGACAGTTTTATTGGTGCTATAATAAAGATGTTTTTTATAGGATGCTAACCTTCTCTGGGAGTGTCAGGGAAATTTTCAGGGTGAAGGAAGGGGTGTGTGTGTGTACAGGAGAGCAGTAGGGGATGCAGGACCCAGCTTATGCAGAAATCTAAAAATATGAAAACTACAAGTGGCAGCTAAAACGCAAACTATAATTGGACAAAAGTGAAGTCTCATGCAAAGGCTGGGACCATGTATATTATGTTAAACTATTTAAACTTTACCTTATAGGCTACAGGAAGATAATGAACCAAACTTTTGCTCAGGGGATTGATAAGATTTATAAGAAAATCATTTTCCTGGTGTAAGTGGGGAAAACTGAAGGTGACTGAAGGTAAAGCAGAATAAGAAAATAATTAAGAGACTAGGTCTAGATCAGAAATGATTAATATCTGTACAAAAGCAGTAATATGAATAAGAGAGAAAAAGGAAGAATTTGAGAGACTTATGGGGAGGGTAGACTCAGAAGAACTTGATAACTGAATGCATGAGGGTGAGTGAAGGAGGAGAGTCAGGAGGACTACCATATCTGTAGCTTGGGCAACTGGAAAGAGAAGGATATTCTCTGAGATAAGAGGAACGTGAAAGGACACATCAATTAGCTTTTGGACCTGTTGAGTTTTGATGAATCTGTGGTACATCTTGGTTGAGATCCAACATTAGGTAGAGAGATACTTGGGAACAAAGCTTTGATACAGGTTTGATACAGGGCTTAGAATTAGGATTCATCAGAACATAGATAAGGAAGTTCAAGTGATGAGTGTGGAAGAAGTCACCCAGGGAAACTATGGGCATATAAAACGAGAAGGCTGACGTCAGTTGGGGAATACCAATTTTCTATTGTTGGTCCATAGAAGAGGAATCAGTTAAAAAAAAAAAAAAAAGGAAAAAAAAAAAAAGAATGGAGTGGTCTGGGAGGTAAAGGAAGTGAGAAGTGATGCACGAGAAGGCAAGAAAGAAATTTCAAGGAGTGGTTAATGTCACCAAGTCAAGAAAAGGACAAACTTCAGATTCCTTGGCTTTGGCAATCAGAAAGTCATTAATTATTTTAAAGAAATTTAATTTCAGTGGATTGGGGGTACCAGGTCGCAATTGCTTACGGAATGAATGGCAAGTGAGGAAATACAGCCAGCAAGACTTGAATGTTTCAAGAAATTTGGCTCTAGCAAGCCAGAAAATAGGCTAAGTAAGTCATAGTTATGAGGGATGTAAGGAAGGAGGGTTTTTCCTTTCTTTTAAACAGGAGGGATATGGCCATGTTTATATGATGATGAAGAGGCTGAAGATTCAGGAAAGAGGAGATAAATAATAGAATAAGGTCTCAGAAGTTAGTAGGGAGGATATTTTATGTAGGTTTGGGAGTGGGAAACTTTAAGAAAAAAAGGAAGAAAATAAAGATGAGTGAAGATATAGTTTAGTTTGTATGGGGGAATGGGTATGAAGTAAAACTTCAGGGAGTTAATACTTAACCTTTACTTGTTCAGTTAAATAAGTCAGATGCTACGTGAGAACCAGTAGTAGATGTGCATACCTATATACATAAAGAGAGTTATTGCAAAGAACAGGCTTATGCAACTGTGGAGGCTGGCTAAGCAAGTCTGAAATCTGCAGGGCAGGCCAGCAGTCTGAAACCTCTCAGCAGGGGCTGTGCTACAGTCCACTGGCAGAATTTCTTCTTCCTCAGGGAAATCTGTTTTGTTCTTTTTCTCCTCTGCAAATTAATTTATTAGGTTGTCAAAATTTATACTTTTAGTAACTTCATTTTCATTAAAAAAAAGTTTTTCCAGCTTTATTGAAGTATA